GCAATTAAAGGAATGTTGAGGACGAAGATATTTGCAGAAAGTTTTTGGTGTAAAGAGAATGGATGCCAAGGCAGCAGCAAACAGATGCAAATAATGCGTTACTGAGAAGCACATGACGACGTGTAGGGTTTCAAAATGTTTGAAAAGAAATACCAAGTACCAACAGCTTTGATACTGCATTGATGAAGGGATCCGTCAATTTGGAGTTTTAAAGATTTTTAGGTATCTGTTAAATAATTTAACTTACGAAAGTTTTTTCAGGATTAACTTTTTATGAATTAAACTAGTGATTTGAAACAATTGGTGGGGAGATTATTTAGTGGGTTGTTTAGTATTCGACAAAAAAGGTTCAGTGCACTATTCCAGTAACAGTACCTCTGCTTGCCCGTCTAGCTTTCATCGCAGGTTTTCCAGAATTTCATCTTTTTCTAATTGTTATCCTTTTGTAGCCGTCTGATTGTTATTCTGCGAATTACTTCTTTCTTGACAAGTTTTTCATTACCCGTTGGTCATTTGACTTTCACTGAAAAACATTCATACTTCAGAGTTGGACAGGCGGTCGATTGTTATGTATTCACTGTTTAGATCATTTTCAACAATCAAGGAGTTTTACATTTTCAGTACAAGTTACAGTGTGGTCCAAAAACGGAACGTTTTTGAAGTGCAGAAAAGTATTTCTGCGAGTTTCACCAATCGCTTTCATTGAGTAAACTTGTACGTAGGGTGTAGGTCGTTAAAGGTTCTTTCATTTTCTCACTGTCACAGGTGTCGACCACTTATCTTAGATGAAATTTCATCGGTTATGAGAATGAGATTGCGTACGAAAAAAATGCTTCTTCTTTAGTAAGTGTTTTTTCGCTACAAATCCCGCAGATAGAGTTCTACTGTGTTTGCGGAGACAGACATATGTTTAATCCGTTTCTTAATAGAAGCAGCAACATTATTTTTTATTTATTTTTTTTCGAATTTTTTTCGAATGAAAATTGAAGATCTTAGCAAATAGCGTTTTCGTTTTGCGGATAAAAATTTGTTCAAATAACGTTGGAAAGAAATTCAGGTACTAACTTTCCACCAGTGTATCACAGGTTATTTTTTTATTTTTTTTTTTTCTTATTATCGCATCAGCTTTGATAGATTCTGGCAGCAAAGTTTGCAGTTGGGCTGTCATTCATAAAAGAACTTAATTATTGAAGTCTTGAGTTTTTGAATGCTTGGTAAACATGAATATTTGAATGCGGTCAGATCTATCGAAGACGGGAGTTTTGGTCACTTTCAAAATGCTTTAGACCCCTGAGAGCTTTTCTTTGAAATCTCGGCACAAAGTCTATTTGTCATTGCAGCAGTTTTTTAAATTCCCTCAGTGTTTTTCGCAGGTATTCAGACCTTAGA